CGCATTAACATTCGAATGAATATACTCACCTGTTTCAGCCATAAAACGACAATCTAAAAAAAAAGAACTCGAATGATAACTCATATAAAATGATCCTTATTAATCACGAGACTTTGAGGGAATTATTCAAAAAAAAAAAGAAAGAAAGCAATACAAAATATACAAGAAAAAATATGTCAATAGTTTATTCTTCCGATGAGACGATCAATGACCAAGCTTTTCTAGTTGTTCCAAGTGCAATTTTTCCAACTCCATAAGCTACTGTACCAATACCACAAGCAGTAGCTATAACAACTGTTTTAGCCATTGTTGTAGCAGCAGCAGTTGTTGTACTTGTTGCTGCAATTGTACCCATATTAGCTAATGTTTTAACTAAACCAACAGAAATTACATGTTGAATAGGTTGAGAATTGAAAATTTTCGAAATTCGTCCTTCTTCATTTTTTATTGATGATTGTTGAGGTGATGCTACAACCATAACAACTTGATTTCCAACATGTGTTTCATATCTATCAATATCAACAATAACTGGTTCATCGTCATCGTCATCATCATCATCACTATCAATGATTTCTTCATCTTGATTTTCATCATTACTTGAAATACAAATAGTTCGTTGAATACGATGAGAAAAATTTTCTGGTATTGATTCATTTATATTAATAGGATTAGATTTTAATAAATTAATATCATGTTTTAATTGATGAAGAATATTTTTATTATTTGTTGGAAGATTATTAATTTGATTTTGTTTTTCTTTTATTTCATTTGTTATATTTGATGTTATTGAATCAATTTCATTCATACGATCTTTATAAGTTTTATCAATTAATGAATACATTTTCTTTTGCCATGTTTTTAATTGTATAATAGCATCTAATTTAATACTATCAACATCAATATGATTAAGTTCTTCTTCTAATTCTAAAATAGAAATTTGTTCCATCTAAAACAAAAAAATAACGAACAATAATATAAATATTATTATGTTACAAGTTAATATAACTGAAATAAATTATGTTTTATTTTCTTCATATTCTGTTGATTTAGCTATATGAGTTATACTCTGATTTGAATGACTTTTAAGATCGTTATAAAAATTTATTCTATAGCATTATTATCTGTTTTATGTGATTTTCTATTGCCACTAGTGGGATATATTCAAATGAAGGAAGTTAAATAATAAGGAGAATTTATCAGAATGTGATTTATGTTGGTTATGATGTATATTAGAGGATTTTATTTTTTTTCTGTAATAATTATTATGAGTCGAAAACTCTTTCATATGGACTTAATTTTATGAGAGAACTTCATAATATGATACATTGCTACGGAAATAAGTCTTATATCATTATACAGATACATCCAATTATGATTATGGAAAATCCAAAAAAAGATTCGTAATCACAGATCTTTCTTCTTCAGTTACGACTATAATAGCGACTTTTTAAATAAACTATTCATGATTCCTTTTAGATCACTTTCGAAATCAACTTTCTTAGGTAAACTTTATATTTTATGTCTCACGATAGATGATACTAGAAAATTTAATAATTTTAAAATGAACTGTCTTTAATTTTTACAAAATTTGCTTTAGTCTTCATAGAAGCATATCGAGATTCTTTCGTTAGTTTAAATTCAATTGTTTTTTGGAAATATAGCTCGAAAAAAAAACATAGAAATATAAAACAAGAAAGTTGAATTTTTTACTCATTGTAGAAAATAATAAAAGATTTTAATTCCAAATAATTCATCTAATTCCATTTTTAAAATACAAACTTTATAATTTTCGTTTTTTCTTCAGTAATCAATTTCATGATTAATTAATCCATAGTTGACATTACTTTTATCAAAATGACAATCATTTGTAATTTGATTAATCAAATTGAAATCATAATAGGGTTTAATACAATTTTGTTTTCATTTTTATTTATATTTAATATAATAGATATTTAATAAGAAATTCATTTGCTTTGTACAGAATTATCAACTAAAATAAAATGATAGACATCAATTGAATTAATGTAAAAACCATTTCAATAGTTATAAACTTGTATATCATAAATATAATTTAATTCAAAAATGTTCATTATAATAACTCACTATTGTTTGTCACTATAAAAATTCAAAACGATCATAACATTATTCTAAACAATTGAAATTCTTTTCTTTGTTCGTATAACAAAATTTTGTTACTAAATATGATCTCTTATTTTTTTATGTATAATAAACAAACAAAAAAGGAGGATTTTAAAATGAAGTTTGTTGAGAAATTTTACCCATAGGTTATTTCGTCGTATTACATCGTATGAGTAGAAGCACGTGTGGGTAGAAGAAATAATCAAAGAATAACTATGATTGGTAGAAATGTAAACTAATCAAGAAAAAGAAAAATACTAGCTGTACAGAAAAAACTCATATTAGGTCATATGAGGGATTACAGGTAATTAAAAAATATTTTTGTATTAAGATTGTTTGTTTTTCAAGAGAAACATCATTTGTGTCTTTGTTAATGATAAAAAGAAAATAGTTTATTTTAAGAGGATATGATGTCGAATTTTGATAGAAGATGCTTTATTAATCAATTTGTTTTTTTATTTTAAAATCTAATGAATAAATGAAACATGATATTCTTAACTGAAATAGACATGAGAAGTTATTTTTCAGTTTCTATTAACCCTATGAGTCCGGGTGTCCTATATATAGGACGCAGTTTAAATATTTATAAATAGAGAGTACTATTATACAATAATTTTTTTTTATTTAAATTACAACGTATTTTATCTATTTTAGTCGTTTTTTTTAGGGTGTGGGTTAAAAAAACATTTTTTATTGTAAATTTTTGTATTTATAAATATTATATAATTATACAATTAAAATTATAAAAAAATAAAACCCGGACTGAAAGGGTTAAAGATAAAAATTTAACTCTTTTCGTCATTATATTGTTTATTTAAGAGTATAATTATATTTTAAAGAGATAATTCATATCATAAAGAATTTCTTATTCATTGATTATATAATTGAATATAATTTTCAATATGAATTTAAATAAGACTTATATAAAAAATCAATGTTTCTTGATTTATGATAATTAAACTATCACATAATAAACAAGAGATTATTTATCATAGATAAATTTATTATTAAAAAAAAATCGATAGCGTATAAATGTAGTTTAATATAAGTTTTGATTTTTATTTATAAAAGAAAAAATAATCAAGAATATGTATATATATATGTCGGAATTACTGTTAAAAGTTAACTGATTAACTTCAAAATATAGAAACGTAAAATTCTTATACATTCATCGAAAATAAATAATTTACAACTAATTAAAAGTTTTCTACGTGGACTTAGCTTAGCATGAACTGAGTCCACTACTGATCGAAGCTATGCAGACTAAATTCTGCTATAAGCCTCTTCACCAGATAGCGTACAGTCATGTTAAACCTACTCATGTCAAAATCTTGACTACGACACTACTGTTAAATCCATATAGAAAACTTTCAATCCGTTGTAAATTATTTATTTTCGTTTATAGTGTGTAAAAATTGTTATGTTTCTATATTTTAAGCTCAACTCTGACATATATATCTAAATTAAACAAAAGGATAAATAATAGTTGGATTATATTGTACGTGTTGTTGTTGTTGTTGATGTTGATGATGATGATGATGATGATATTCTTGCCTGTGTTGTTGGTGATATTCGTGTCTTTGTGCATATGCAGCCGTATTCATTGCAACAGGTGGATGATAAACAACCAAAGGTGATGTTGTTAATTGAGTTGGATATTGTAAAAATCGATTTGAATTTTGTTGCCATAGATTAGCTGCCCATTGTTGATGTGCTTGCATTTGTTCTCTATTACGTTGTTGTATAGCAAAGAGTTGTTGTTGTGCTCTCCATGCTAATTCATTAAATGCGCCTGATTGTTGTTGAGTAATATGTTCTGTATTTAAATGTTCAACAGAATTTCGTCGTTGAAGATTAACTGGTATTTGTGTACGTGATGAACTTGAATGAAATTCAGCTGAATGACGACGTTGTCGTTGTTGTTGTGTATTCATAGTAGTTGCTTGAAATTCTGCTGTAGCTGGATTTCCCATAACACGTTCATAAATAACTTCACGTGGTGGTGCTGGTTTATATGGTAACCATTTTTCAATAATAACTGGTTGAGGTTTTGGTGGTAACTAGCAAAACAAAAAATTGATTATTGAATATGAATTTAAGTAAATAAAGTTTACCGGTGCATTATGTTCGACAATTACACGTCGTGATGATGGAGGTTCAGGAGGTAAAACTTTAGTTATAACTGTTGGTTCTTGTTGTGGAGGTGGTGGTGGTGGAGCTTCGCGAAGAATAAGAGGTGGAGGAGTTGGTGGTGATGGTTCTTGATATTTGATTACGACTGGAGGAGGTGTTGGTGGACGTGGAGGAACAACTTCTAGAAAACGAAAATAAAAAAATGAATAACGATTTTATTTTTTCTTTGTATATGAGATTAATTTGTTTTTTTTTGTTACCTCGAATAATTAATGGTCCAGGCGGAGGAGGTGTTGGTGGAACAAGATATCGAATAGAAACATTTTGTTGATAAGTTACTTGATCGGGATTTGGTTTTGTAATCATTTGAGGATTTGGATCATTATGTAGATCAGGACGATTCTGCATAATCTGTTGATATTCCGCTAGAATACGTTGATCATCATTATTTATTTGTTGTGATGATAATGTTTGATTAAATTCATTCGTTGGATATTGTTCACGAATAGTAACACGATGTTTTGTTTGTGAATTTTCATTATTATTATTATTATTATTA